GGTATTTTGTGGAAGAGCCACACTGAAGGGGCCAAAGAGCAGCATGTGGCTCGTGAGCCACGGTTTGCCGAGCCGCAGTTTGCCGACCATTGGTAGGCTTATATGCATGCATACATGTCCTTTGGTTGATTTCTCCTCCTTACCCCCACCCTCCCCTACCTTCCCTCTGAGGTTTACTGTCTGATTAATGCTTTTCTGTCTCTGGATCTGTTTCTGTTCATCAGTTTCTGTTCTTCATTATATTCCACAAATGAGTGAGATCATGTGATATTTATCTTTCTCTGACTTATATTGCTTAGCATAATGATCTCCAGTTCCATCCATGCAGTTGCAAATGGTAAGAATTCTTTCTTTTTTATCACAGCGTAGTATTCCATTGTGTAGATGTACCACAGTTTTTTCATCCACTCATCTGCTGATGGACACTTAGGCTGTTTCCAAATCTTAGCGGTGAATTGTTGTGCCACTATGAACATAAGGGTGCATATATCCTTTCTGATTGGTGTTTCTAGGTCCTTGGGATATATTCCTAGAAATGGAATCACTGGGTCAAATGGGAGTTCCATTTTTAGTTTTTTAAACTCCATACTGTTCTCCACAGTGGCTGCACCAGTCTGCATTCCCACCAGGAATGCATGAGGGTTCCTTTTTCTCCGCATCCTTGCCAGCACTTGTCATTTGTTGATTTGTTGATGATAACCATTCTGACAGGTGTGAGATGGTATTAAGTTATAATAAATTATTTTAATTGAAAAAATTAAATCACAAAATTATTTAGATTTTTCTTCCTCAGACACTCTTTTATAAAAAATATGCTTTTTTATTAAAAAACAAAATATGTCCATTTTCTTTGTCAGTAATAAATGCTTTATAATCATTAGGATGATTCTAAGATGTTTATAGAACTAAGATGTAAGTCAAGTTGGACATGGTTTAGCAAATAGTAACTGTAGTTTTGTATCTAGGAGATTGTAGTAAAGCAGATTCTTTGCACTGATTCAATATCAATTTGACAACCCTGACCTTTTACTAAGTATGACTTCAGTGAGATACCTTTTGTCTTTCATTTATAGGGGAAAGAACTCATTAGAAAGGCAATGCAAGGAATTTCAGAATAATAAATCTCAAGTTAACAATTCTACTTTTAATGATTAGATGCCTGAATCTTGTATTTAATTATAATGGTTACTTTAAATGATTATATTTAATTTAAACATAATTAGCTAAACCTTGATGTTACTGCCTCATCTATTTTGAAATTCATTATAAAATAGCTCAAAAAGTGCTGTGACATTTTAATATTAAAATGGATCAGAATCAGTTTGCATCTTTTGTTGGTTGCAGTTGTGAACTTATATTGAGCTGTTTATATTGGGTACGACTGTGGGTCTCTGGCATGGTGATCATATAGTAGAATAAAATTTATGTAATTGATGTTTCCTCTATATATATGAGAGATCCTTTAACCTACCAGGCAATAATAGTCTATAATCAAAGATATGGCTGGTTAAGCTTTAAAGGAATTGAAATTTTATAAGTAAATTTTGCCCTTAATACATTCAGGAGGAACCACTGTTTTTAGCAGGTGATTCATATGTGTGTAGCAAGCCTCTGCACCTCACTCTCTTTGAATCAGTCTAATGATATAATCAGAAAGTGTTTCCAGGAAAAGTTCTGAATTTAACTTCTATTTAGACAAACAACATGGTTTATATATACAGGAACCAAGAGAGAAGGGCTAGTGATGTACAATTGTTTTTCCTGGTCTACAGAACATGAGAATATTGAAAAACACTCACCATAGCCATTCAGAGTCGGGTTCCTAGTGCTGTGAGAAGTGACATCTATGAATGTTTTCAACCCTTGATATGCAAAACTGCTATACTGTGCACATTTGTTTATTAAGGATATTGCTACTGTTTATTAGGTACTGAGTATGTATTAGACACTGAACCAAATGCTGAATGAGGTGATATTATTAGGCCCACTTTACAGATGAACAAAATGAGGCTTGGGCATGCTGAGGTACTTGCCCAGGGTCATATTATTAGTAAGTGATGGAGGCAGGATGTGAAGCCTCACTCCACAGATCTGCACCTCACTGTCTCCAGCTCTCCTTCTCAGAGGTCTAAGGCATTCTCATTGCCTACAACCACCACCAATACCACAAAAAATGTCTCCCTTGCAAAAATAGTGTGAGCTAATTAAAAGGTGGCTTAACTATCAACACCAAAAATCTGTTGTCCCCAGTACTAATACCCTCTCATGCCAATATGTGCAGAATTTTCAAATATTTTATTAAAACCTGGGCCTTTTACTCTACAATGAGCCCTTTTAGTTGGGAGAATCTGTTGCCCCCATTCCCTGACATGAGCTCAAACCTTCTGTACCCCAGCCCGCCCTGTAGGAATTTGAATTCTGAGCAGGTTATCAAGTCAGACTCAGCTAACACATCCAGTGAAGCTGTGTAGAATATTTCTCTTGCATTCACACAAGTGCTGTTATGTGGCCTACCCGGATGCCTGCGAGCTATCCGGTATCTCAATTACCTCCTCTGCCATCTGTTTCTGTTTCTCTCAGTCCTGCTCTCTGGTTCACTAAACAATGAATGATAGATACTCACACCCAAGAGCTAGACTCAGGCACATTCTCTGCAAAGAATGTAGGTAACAAATAGATATCCCTCCCATTTAGATAGTAGATTGCGATCAAAGCCACAGCTATCCATTGACTTTAATTTTAATGTTTCAAGTATCCGTCACTATCTTAACTTTGGACATCCTCACAAGGTCCGAAGGACTGGGACCATCAGAGTAATCACAATGGTGAGGAACCAGAGTGGGGAGACAGACAGCCTCATCTGCTCTGTGCATCTTGCGAAGGCCTTTAAACACCATCTGTTTTCTGCTCTTTTCTGGCTACCGTTTTCCCTAGGCTAAAAGATTTAAAAATGACTAGGGGAAAGAAAAAGCAACCTGAGAAACTAGTTTGAGATTTTAATTCTTTATTTCATCTGCCAGCCACTGAAATGCAGTTAACTGCAGCAAGTGTTCCTCATAGATAAGGGAATTGTTGCTTCACATATAATTACATTGCCTCTACCGGTAGACATCGCCAAC